AGATGGCGGACACGTCTTTTCAAATAAATGCAATATGGGAATCGTTTTCGAGGTATTCGAGGTGCTCATCACGAATATGGCATTTATTTCTAAATCCAAGATGGCGGACACGACTTTTGAAATAAATGCAATATGGGTATCATTTTCGAGGTATTTGGGGGTGCTCATTACGAATATAGCATTTATTTCTAAATCCAAGATGGCGAACACGACTTTTGAAATAAATGCAATATGGGTGTCATTTTCGAGGTATTTGGGGGTGCTCATTACGAATATGGCACTCATTTCTAAATCCAAGATGGCGGGCACGATTTTCATATAATGGCAAGTTGGGGATCGTTTTCGAGGTATTTGGGGGTGCTCATTAGGAATATAGCACTTATTGCTAAATCCAAGATGGCGGACATGACATGATGGTGCTCATTAAGAACATAGCACTAATTTCTAAATCCAAGATGGCGGGCACGATTTTCGAATAATGGCAAGTTGGGTGTCGTTTTCAAGGTATTAGGGGCTGCTCATTCCGAATATAGCACATATTTCTAAATCCAAGATGGCAAAGAATTAGAAGAAGAAGAATTAGAAGTCATGTCCCCCATCTTGTATTCAGATATACATGCCATTTCCTTACGGTTTACCAAAAATACATTTTTGAAATTTGTTGTCAACCATCTTAGATTTAGAAATTAATGCTACATTCGTAATAAGCACTCTAAAACTCCTCGAAAACGTCTATAATTCTCAATCGTTACTATTGATCGACAATGTCGAGCAAATCTGTAGGCACCTTATTAAATACTACCCAATTCTTATTTAACTCATTTATGAACAAAAACCTACAAGCGAGTTTAAGTGCGACTATCGAATTTGAATATATAAATAGCCTGATATTATTTGTGGGTATGTTTACATGAAAAGTACACGATAACAATTAAGAACCTGAACCTGAAAGTTATTTATACACAATTCTGGAGAACTGACGATGACTCAGATGAGTCAGAGTTAGTTTCCTGAAATAATTTTAGTTAAGAACTTTTAAGTCTGGGCAAGACAATTTTTTAAAATGAGTGTATGATGAACAAGAATAATGATTTTTCACATGAAACTAATGAAGGCAAATACTAAATATATTTCGTAAAAATAGCTAACGTAAATTCCCTACAATGTTGTTGCGGCGGTGTACATTTGTAGAAATTTTGCAACTGTCGCGATATTGCCTATTCTTAAAAAATTACGTAATATTTTGAAACAGAATAACAAAATGGGGAGAAAAAACCCGTTACTTTGCAACATTTTCGTATCTTGTTGCAACGAAATTAATTTTCTGTTTTAGTGAATATTTATATAAAAATACAAGTTGAGACGCGTTATTTCCTTGTGGAATGTGATGTTAGTGTCTATTTTATATTTGTCTGATCTATTTTTAAACCCCATTACCGCACAATTCGTCATTTTTAGCAAAAATTTTTGAGCTGCTCGCGGTGGAAGTTGACCTTGAGCACTGACAGCCCGCTCGCTCGTGTAAGCCCATAGGGCGTCCTACAATTTGCCTCACTTAATGTGTGCGGGCTAGGTTTCTTACAACCATAGATTTAGTATATAGGTTACAACGTTCTAACGTTCTATTATTAATTGCGTTAATGCTTTTATTTTTTCTTCTTTTGACAGTTGGTTTATTAGCATCGAGGTCAAATTTTCTTCATATATGAACATTTCAACATATATATAGTCGGATTTGATTATTTATATTGAATTAAAATGAAAAAATCATTGATCTACAAGTAAATAATAAAAAATAAAAATGCGTCGGGTTCGCGCTAAAAAGTGTCCGCACCTATAGGGCGTTAAAATCGCATACAGAGCGTCAATCACGCAACAGTCTTCATTTGTTCGAGTGACAGCGCGGTTGTCAATCACGCAGTACCATATAATAATAACTTGTAAAAATTACCGCTGTAAAGTGTAAAAACAGGATTTTGTACCATATTTTCACTAAACAAATATATTGGGTTATCATAGTTCTCATTTAAAAGTGTTATTTTGTACAGTTTTATCGTATTTAATTTATATATAAATGAATCATAAAACTAATTTACAAAAGCACACAAAATAATCAAATACCTAATTGTCCTTTTTCTACACATTGCATGCGCAAAAGATGGAAAGAGACTCATTACGTCAATTTCAAGAAGCTTATATAAACTTTTTGGTCATTTTCAATTGTTCGAATCACAAGCGATTGAAATATTTAGAACAAAGGAATTATAGAGTCACTTTGATTTTAATCTTATTTAAAAAAATATTTTTTATTAAGAGCTAACGAAATAAAATGTCAAATGTATTTTTTTAGGAAGATTACAAAACTAAACTAAATCGGTTTTCAGAATTACGGTTTACGTTTAGTTGGAATATCAGTACATTTCTTATAGTACGCGCTTACTTTCACATTTGTAGTAATATTTGTATGTTTGTATCTGCCTAACTCTTTATTATTTCTTTAAGTGAATTTGCACAAAATTCGACATAATAATATAGATAAAAATTAATTAATATTTACGATAAAGGCTACTCCATTACTCTTGTGTTCAAGTAATTTTCAGTCGAAGCTAAATATGGTGCATTTTGTTAAATTTCCAGTAGAAGCTGAATATGGTGTTTTTGGGTCCTTAAATTGTTGCAAGCAAACTTAGGCAGTACTGCAATGACGTTACAATTCAAATTAAATGTTTTAGTTTTTTATATTTCGTTACGTCACTACGTTTGTATAGGTTAACTTCGGACGTCTTTTTCGTGGTTTTTGTATTAGACCCGAAGTCCATTTGTTGGTAGGTCAATGGAAAAAATTAAAAATATGTCTCTTCTTGGTGTTTCTCATAAGCATAGTTCTAAATACTTTTACTTTACGAACTTACAAAAATTGACAAAACAAATGAACTTGAGCTCAGTAATTGGATGAATAATGGGTCGAGGATGATTCAAATTAAACAAGTTCGGCTATTTATTCCATAAGCGTGACCAATATGTTAAAAATCTGCTTTTTTTTAAAAAAAAACAATTTATTCCCAACCGAAAGTAGTAGACAGCTTTACTTGTCTTCCATCACTCTTCATCGACACTCTAAAACACAACCCCAAAGCCTCAATAGTATGAACTATAAGAGAAGACCCTACACCGTCTGTGTTTCGCTTCCAGTTAGAACATCATTTGCTCAAAGATTTTCGCGTTTTCGGTCAGGCAGAGTGTATACTTTAGTAAACAAAAAACTAGGTATTTAACTAGATTTGTCAAAATATGAAGTAAAAAAGAAAATCAACTTACATTTACAAACATTAAGCTGTGATAACACTGAGAAAATAATTGAAATCACAAATTAAAGTGAATATATACAAGCACACAAACACACACACACACACATCAATATATACATACATACACACTCACATACACATGCACTTGCACGTATCTTCTTCCCTGTATAAGGCTCTGGGTACTTAAAATATCGACATACAATAAAAATAGTTTGTTTTTCCTTCCATAATAGTACTAAAACAAGGTACTTATGAAGAACTTAGGTAAATATTTTACTGAACAAAGTACATTTGTGGAAAGCTGGAGCGTAAACTAAATCAAAGATTAGTATTTTAGGTCTCCAGGCCTCCCAACTCAGATTAAATTACATCATTATATTCTTAACGGGTCACCCGTCTCTCATAATACTTCCATATGGCGTTTAAAAGTGTCAAATTATACAATTAGCTTTTATTGTTTCCTGCTGATGGTTAATGTGTCTATAGTGAAATGTATCATTGATAAACCACACTTAGGACACTAAAATTTGTTTCTAGGAAAACTAACAGTGTTACAAAACAAAAATACATAACAAAAACTTATGAGCATTCAAAATTACAAATTTATTTTTCATTAATATTTTAATATTAGCTATTGCACTCTTAAATAAACACAACATACCGAAAAACAGATTAAACTTACAAAATTACCACGTAGTATAAAATTGTTGATAGACTCATTGGTCCGTTAATCCGTTGATGCGTTAACTCGTTGATCGATTGCTTGACTTTTTGGTTCGATCGAACAAAGATTGAGAAGGCGAACCGTGTCGTGATTGGGGACATCACGTGAGAGTGAACGAGACAACAATAATCTCTACAATTATAATGATAAAGTCGAATATTGCGCGCATAACCCCATGAAACTCTAAAATTATTAGTTTATTCAGAAGCTAGGGTCAAGAGCACGTCACTGTACATTTCCTTTATTTTATTTCCCACCTTCTAAGCTTTACACTTAAGATTTAACATCAACGCTGTGTCACTTACGATAAAAGAGGTCGAAAGTTCAAAGCGATGAGCTCTATGTGATCTTGACTATATGTACGTACATACAGTGCATACACTGAGGGTCGTATTCCAAAACTCTACTCAATGCTCAAGTCAGGATCTGAGTATGATTTCAAGCACTGGAAATACGACCCTAATGGCAGGGACTTGAGTATGATTTCGAGTGCTTTAAACCATACTCAAATCCTGACTTGAGCGTACTCAAGTCAGGACATGAGTATTGCAGTGAGCATTGAAAATCATATTCAAGGCCTTGCCATTAGGGTCATATTTCCAGTGCTTGAAATCATACTCAAGTCTACTCAAATCCTGACTTGAGCATTGAGTACAGTTCTAGAATACGACTCTTAGACTATTTTCCATCCTCTAAGTACGTACAGCAAACATCATTGACATACGGTATCTACACAATACAATCAAGATCATATCGAGCTCATCGTGTTCATTTTTAGTCTCGTATTAAAAAGTTCTATAATCAAAGCCAGAAGAACAAGAAAAAACCGCGTCAGTGACGCGCGCGTCAATGTGACGTTTGTGATTTTTGTAAACGTTTTTGACGTTTTAGACAGATGTGTTGATTGTGTTGAAATCGAGCAAATGTTTTAGGAACTGTACTGGTTACTTGTAATTTTAATTACAACGTCGGCTGATCATGTGTATGTGATTTTTATGTGTATTTTTTTGCAAGTTAGGCGTAGTCGATCTTTTGTTGTGTGGTATTTTTATAAGTTTCGTCTATCGTTCACGGTAAGTCTTACTTTAGGTTGTGGGTTTCCCTCGTATTTGGCCTACATTTATAAATTTTCTGGATGGGTTGATTAGGAATCTTCTTAGTTATTATATTCTCATATAAAACACTAGTATTATGACAAGTAATGATAAGTGTAGTCGGAAGGCTGCTATGCTGTTAATGCAAAAAAGTTGGAATTTTTATATTATGTTCTTTGAACCTGTATAGCATAAAATGTGATTGACTTTCATTTACATTAATAAAACAGAGCTGTTTGTATGTGGACAGGATGATTAGATTACCACAGCATCCTGCACATATCTACTTGTGCAACATTTCGCTGGTTTAAACGTAAACTTCACTAAAAAGCCAAATCGGCTAATGGAGGTCAAGATTTTGTGTTTTACCTGTATTGGGATTTTAATATTATTGTAACTTTTCTCGATGCTGTTTTAGAATGAAGGACACTACACACTGATTAACTTTTGTATCTTAGGTGTTCTTCTTAATGAAATAAAAATAGTAAATGTACACAGCTGTCATGGTTACTAATGTATTATTTTTTCTTTTACATTTTCAGAATCATCAAGATGGGTGGTTGCCGATGTTCCTATGGTAATTGCACGGCTCGGTCTGATGGGAAAACCCACTTATTCCATTTTCCGGTGTTTGACAAAGTACGATGTCACCAATGGCTTACTAATGCTAATAAACTGGAATTTCTCAATCTCAAAGTTTCGCAGCTTAAGAATAGAGTGGTGTGTCAACACCATTTTAAAGATGATAATTTTATGAACTTTAAGGTAATATGAGTTGGGTACTGTTTTTTACAATTTGTGACTATTATTGTAATACTATTTAAATAACATGCCTATTCTGTCACATCAACTAATAATGCTTTTAATGTTTTATAATTATAAATGCTGCTTTATAAATTCTTGTTGGATCTAACATATGTAAATGTTGTTTATGTTACTGTAATCGTTTCAGAAAGACAAATTGAAGTTTGATGCAGTGCCTACAGAAAATGGGCCCTATTGTAATGAACCTGCACCAGATCCTGAGCAGTCTTTAATCACACCAGAAGATATTGAGATTGATCAGTTGACTTGTAGTGAAAAGCAAGCCAATTATTCAGTTAAGTATGGAGATTTTTTGACAAATTCGGAAGTGGAACTACTAACTGTAAAATCATTGATTGACAATCCACTCAACACAATGAAAACTGAAACTCAAATCATGAATGAGGAAAATGATGAATACCAGGAAATAAGAAAATCAGATAGTTTCACTACTTTTAGTCATAAAACACTTCCAAGAAGGAAGGAGAAAAAGTTCTCAATACCCAAAAAAGTGAAAGCAGTTAGTCCATTAAAAGTTATGTCGCCGTTGTCGAATAACAATAATAAATCAGAAAAACCAAACAGTAAATTAATTGAAATAGAAATAGCACCCAAAGAAGATGTTAAACCTTTGCATAATACTAATAATGAGACACCTAATTTGCCTAAAAGAAATAACAAAATCAAAATAATATCTGAAAAAACAATATCAGAACAAGTAAAGGTGCATGGTAAACTTGAACCTGTGTCACCATCATTAGTGCTGCGTGCGCGAAATAAAAGGAAGGACCCTGTTCATCCCATAGATAAGCAACTAACAGATGAAAGTTCAAATACTGTTACAATCAATGATATATTTAGTTTATTCTCACCAAACACATACCAACCACATACAGCACCAAATACAGCTATGAGTGTAGCAGTTAATGACCAGCCCTTACTGGAACCATCTCAAAACTACCAACCAAATTTTCTTACTGGAGGGAATGATAATTTTATTGAATCAAAACCAGTTTTATTAGAATCCCAAGATTTACAAAAAAATACAGAAGTTTATCTTCAAGTTTTGCCAGTTAGTGTTGATACTGCACCTAATGAACAAATATCAAGTTTTGTACCAGCAAATATATGCAACTTTCAAAGTAAACCAATCTCAATACAGTCTACACCCAAGAAAAATATTCTTAATCAAACTTGTGAAATATCACCAATCAAACAACTGCATAATAATAATAGAACTATTGAATCAACTTCCCCAAATACATCCGTTTTGAAAAATAAAATACCACCAGAAAGAGTAGCGGCTATTGAAGAGAAAAGGAAATTTAATAAGAAGTTAAGGGATATGATCGAGTTTTGCTTAGATGAACTTGATGATCCAGATAAAAAGAGTGAAAGCAGTTCGAAAAAGACAGTAGAGATTGACAAGGTGGTGAAGTTGCCTGAAAAATCAAACAATGCAAAACGCAATGGTACTAATGATGTACAAATCAATACAGGTACTATAAATATAAATCATAAACATAAAATACAACAACAAAAGTTTGCACCACAGGCTGACATGGTTAAAAGTAAAACTCACTTCCAAAAGACTCAGACTTTAAAAACGCCTGATTCTTATATTTCAGTCTTGGAGACCAGATTACAGAAGATGGAAGATCTTTTATTACAAAAAATAGATCAAAACTCTCAGAATATAGCAGAGTTAAAAAAATCTTTTTGTAATCCTGCTGTTGGCAAAAAATCGACTCTTACACAAACATCCGGCAACGAAGAAGCGTATAAGAAGCAACTCTATCAAGAAATATCAAAGTACCTTAGTCCTAATGTGAACAGTTCGGTTTACGAAGAATTGTTTTTGAATAAATTTTCCCAAAGGAAATCTCTCGAGAATGCACATATGGACCTTCAAATGTCACCGCCAAAACGGCGGCGACGATTGAGGTGATTATATAGAGTGGCGCGACGTTGTTATTCATTCGTGAGTAGAGTGGTAAATTAAATTTAAGCATAATTTGTTGTGTAAGGTACATTTTATAGTATGATACAATGTATAATTTTTATGAAGTACATTGACGTTATATTTTCACAATAGTTTTTCTAATTTTGATACCTTCTAACAGTCTTAATGAGGTTTTGCGTGTCTTAGAAAATATGTTCTCAATCTTTCAGTTTGGCTTCCTTGATTGAAAGTTTTGTGTTATAAATGCAACCTATTTACATGAAACACTTCCTTTTTTCGCAATTAAAGCTAAAATTAATTTTAAGTATTAGTTCCATGCATGTTGCAAAATATGTATTGTTATTTCCATTATTCTGTTTCGTTGTAGCGACTCTTGACACGGTTTTTTCAAATTTAAATTCAAGTAATTTCTAAGTTACGTACATAATTATGTGCATGTTTAATAGCAATACTTCTCGCAAATGGTGATGGAAAACATTGTTATGAATTCTGCAAGTCGAAGAAGGTTTACTTTAATTAAAGGAAATCCGTGCCCAACAGTCCGTTATTGGGCACGGGAACGAACAATGGGTTGTTGATGGATAATGATGATGTATAAGCCGTCCACACTGGCGCCGCCGATCGGCAGTAGACCTTAGAGGATGGAAAAAAAGACAGTCGTTCAGCCAGCCTTCAGCTCGACCGCCATCGACATTGACGTCATCGAAAACTCACAATAAGCATTGTCACAGCCCATATCGTGTTGCCAAAGTGAAACGTGTGCCTTATTCCAGCGTCACCATGGTCGAGTTTTGGAAATTAGACTGGCTAGAAAAAAAAGCCGCTATTTGGTCGGTTCTAGTCGCAAAAAACTAGATTTAGTCGGTCCGCCCCGTTCAATAATTATAAGGGTGTTTTACTGTCCACGCTGGAATAAGCTTATTCCAGCGGTACCGTTTCTCAATCTCGAGAACCACAACACCTAGCTTAGATCTGATTACACTAAAAATAATTCGTGATTTAGTCGGTTGTAGTCGTTACGTCGTTTCGAAGTTATTAAGGTGTTTTACTGACCACACTGAAATAAGTTTATTCCGGCGGCATCATTTTCGAATCTCGATAACCACAGCTCCTAGCTTAGATCTGTTTGCATCCAGAAAGTCGTGAATTAGTCGGTTCTCGCTTTTATTGCGTGACATAACCGTTTTATGAGCGGCTCTAAACGATTTCACGTCGTTAGTGTGGTCGATCAGATCGAAGGGTGACCCCTTAGTGCGCACTATTCTCGTTGCGTTGTAGTGTTCGTAATATTTTTTGTTTTAGCTTCTCGCGGTTAGCGATGATTTCTAATAGATTAGATTATAAGTTAAGTAAGAACTAGATGCAAGGCAACTTTTCGTTCTTTGCATTTTACTTAAAAACATAAAGAACTGGTCGTTGATCCTACCATTTTACGGAAAAGGCGCTTTGACATAGTTCACAACCAAGAATGCACCATTACGTACATTCAAAGACACATTTTTTAAACTCTTATTCCTAGTGGCCTTTCTCTAAATTTGTCTCAAAGTTTCTTCTCCGCTTTAAAAGTCCTGTTAGCAATACCGTGATGTATAGACGTGGTACAGTGAGTATACCCAAATCTTTAAAATGTTGTCGGCATGATTCCTATGGAGGAATCTGTACTGTACCATAGTGCGAATGGCCCTTTTTAGGAATATGAAAGCACTTTCTATATTATTGGAAACTGTTTGCCCATAGCGCTATGCTGTAACGAAATTTTTATTCAATCAAGGCATGATACATCGATTTTAGTTGTTTTATAGCAAGCACATCTCTTAAACTTCGTAAGGCATAACAGGCACAACTGATTGAGTTTTGTATACTGTACAATAATTTTTCTTAGGCTTATTTTATAATTGATTAGTTTGTATACAGTCTGTATGCATTATTGTTCCAAGCAAATAAATATTATTATTACTATTAATAGGCGCGCGGCGATAACTGGTAGGAGTCAGTGGTACCTACATATTGACTTCGCGCATGCAGTCTGTATAGCAACAGCCTTATGCAATGCGGATTGGGGATTTCACACGTTTTCAGTGACTTTGCAATGCAACGGTACAGCCAGTATGGAAATAAGTACTGGGGCCTAACCATGAACTCTTATTATGATTCAGTTTAAAACCTAAAATGTATCGTTGTGAGACAGCGCTACATGAAGTGTATATCACCATCCCACTTTTTGTCCTCACGAACCTATACTGAACTGTAATAAGAGTTCATGGTACGGCCCCTGGTGTCTTTTTGTATAGTAACAGTAGAGCACCTTGTGCAAGAGTTCGTCGAGGGAAGTACTGACACGACTGCATACGCCCCCTATATAAGCAATACTCTTTGATGGAAAGGGAGAGGGGCAGATAATTTATCTTGAAGATACTCGTTCACGTCGTAATAACTTTTAGAAATTAATAATTTTTTCAATACATTTGTGAATTTGTTTACGTTTGATTCTGATTTTAAATATTCTGGGAGTTTGTTATAGATTTTTATTGACATAGAATGAGGTCCTGAACTATGTATCTTCAATTTAGACATTGCTTGTATTAAGTTATTTTTATTTCGCGGAATGTGATGTCTATTATAAAAATTAGGGCTATTTTTTATGAATTTACACACTCCCAATATATAAATATATACCTACCTGGCAATGTTAGTACATTAAATTTTTGGAATTACGGTTTACAGCTTTCTACTTGCTTTATATTTACAAGAATCCGAATACATTTTTTCTGAGCGGTTAAGAGCTCATGGGCATTTACGCTGTTACCCCAAAGTATTACGCCGTCACTGCTGTTTTTATGCTTAGTGATCTTTTTTTAATTCACGCAAAGCGTATGTAAACTGCGATAATTTCGATTTAATTTTTTGGATATGTGATTTCCAGTCGATGTCGGTATCAATGTTTATACCTAGCAGTAAATAATAAGTAAAAACTGTCAATATTGGAGCTTTTTCTTTGAAAATAACGTAGTACAAAACAGTCAACTTAATTTGTCAGCCTTTTTGTTCTTGGAAATTAAAATTAAAATATAAAAAAAAAACTTTTGCAATCAAAGTAACAAACCTCCTCTAGAGAACATCAAAACTGTCGTTATTTCAATGATATGAGATGATAATCAGATCTTAAATCTTTAAAAATATACAACCATTAAAAATTATTGTAAAGTCAGCCTTTTAAACTTAAATTATTGTTTAGTTCTTTATTCTAAATAATTGAAATTGAAATAATAAAATTGAAAAAAAAAAATTAAATAAAATGTTTACTAAAACAAAATATAGTATAATTTAAAAACAATCTTTCTAATGTAAAGGTGCTTTTCCACCAGCCAGACGAGGATTAAAATTTGTATGGCAAAATTTAAATTTTCTTCTAGCGTATTTTCGATGGAAATGATCTTGATTGACGAGGATGGGCGAGGCGAGAATTGAAATATTTGTTGATGTACTTAGAGCATATAATGTCAAATCGTATTGTTGCCTTCATAAGAGATATTGTACTATGTAACGGAAGCATGATTTCTAGCGCGAGCTCGCGATGTCTTTTATTATCAATCGCGAGATTGTGAGGTTATAAACGTTGACACATTTTCGAATATATGTAAATACTAGATATTTCAACCTTGTTTTTAAAAATATATAATCATGACACAGTTTTTAACAAAAGTATTACATTTATTTCAGAGCAAAGTAAAGTACAATCAGTGAAAAATATGCTGTCATTTTTGTAAATATTTATACCATGCATTTTCATTAAAATGTATACAATTAGGATTGTGATTTTATCATAATAATGTGACCACTTTTAAAACTACGGAGTTTGTTACATTTTAGTCATAATTGGATCGTTTTTAAAATAAATGAACGCACAATAATATAATATTATATTGCAACTACATTGTGCATTCATTTAAATACTAGCGCCAGTTGTAAAGTTATTTGTATGGTATTTTGCCAGTTCGGGCGGCACCGACATCGATTTTATTCGGTTAAATTACCCTCAATTTTTTTTTGGTGATACTTACAAGTGATCTGTACCTATGCTGTATCCAATTAATTGTCTTTGTGGTGCAACACCAGTGATCTAAATTTACAGTGTTATCGTGATAAATTATTGTAATTGCGGACACAATCTATTTTCTAAATAAAAGGTTATTGAAAAATTTCGAACTAAATTCGACTACTTAGTACTTGGTATCGATAATAGATTATGTAAAAAAATAATTTATCGAAAGTAAAATGTTGTTATTTTTTAAATGTCTAATATTTACAAATACTCGAAAATGTGTCAAGGCTTACATTTTATTGCACGCAACCGAACGCACGATTTGAGTTTAAAAAAAGACAGCTTCATCTGATTCTTCTTCTGTTAACATATTTAATAATAATAATTTGCGGGACGTGTTTATTGCTAAACGAATTGGACAGGACTGAATTGTCACTATCCGCAACGACACCACGAGCGCGCGCGAGCTTTTAATAATTTTAATTTTTGGTAGAAATAGGCACGCGAGATTTCTATTCTCCTCTCGCCTCGGCGGTGGAAAACCACCTTAACTTCTACGAAGCGGTTTTTTACTCCCTCTCCCCGCCCGCATTTGTCGTCAATATTTACTTTAAAAAAGGAATATTTATTTTACATGAATGTTTTGTACATAAGTACCATCTATCGGTGAGAGTCAGAATGGTGGGTGTATCTCAACGAATCCTGACAATTTTTTTACCAAAAAAATTTACCTAAATTGTACTATTTAAATTGCAATGCAGATTTTGGAGCAATAAGGTGATATCTACAAAATTACAACTTTTCAGGAGAGAGGCTTAAAGATTCTACGAACGAAATTAGTCTATAGCTTTATTATGTTAAATAGGAGAGTGATAAAATTAATCATGTAGGATAGGTAGGTACCTATACGATTTATAATAATGACGTGTTAAGGTTACAATTGTTCCACGTCGACAACCTGAGTCGATCAGCACTAAAAAGAATTTGACCAGTTTATTAATTTTTATGGACAATTCACACTTGACCAAATAATTGATTATGCCATTATGTTTTTATTCAATCAAAAGATGGTCTTATTATTTTTTCTTTATTTACAGCTGTTTTTTTATCTATAAACTTATTGTTACCTCTTAAAGTAGGTCAACTAAAGCCTCTCTACAAATGTCATATTAAATGTATGAGAGCGTTTAACGTTACAATTTTTGATATTTCTAGTTTTATTTTTAAAAAGTTATTGATGTCGATTTACTCATTAGATAACGTACTTTTGAGATCAGTTTAAAGCTTTTTGATATCTATTATATTTATGGAATAATCGCCTGGGCACACTTAACGAATACACCTTGTATAAGATCATTGACGTTTATCAATATCAGTTACGGGGCGATGGCCTAAGCGCATACAACCATGAGGATATTATTATTTAGGAGACATAACACTATTAAATAACCACAGCAGCAGACAGTTCTTTGAGGATTTCAAATTTGCTTGATTCTACCCTATATCAGTAAATAAATTCATAGCTCTCATCATTTAGGCTTTTACGTCATGGTATACTCATTCCAAGCCGGCCCAGTTTATTGTTAAATGATGCTGAAATCACTTTCAAATGCGTTTTTAAAAGGAAACTAAATTAAAGGGACCACGTTTTTAAAAAGAAATTTAAAAAATTCCACAGTAGATATGCTATGTAATACTTAGATCATATGCACACGGCGTATTTTATACGCGCCGACGACGCGCGTACACGCGCCGTAAACGCGCGTCATCTGCGCGTATACGCTCCACAGACGCACTGTAGTCGCGTATGTATAGAGTATTTAGATAAAAGATAGTTTTAATTTAAGTTTTGTTTGTTAATTTCAGTTCTTTTTTTTAAATGAAGCAACTACATGAAATTGTAAGTGCGAATACATGAATTTGCGCGAGTTTGAATCGATTTACTACAGCGCGTCTGCGGCGCGTATACTCCCAGATGACGCGCGTTTAAAGCGCCGTAAACGCGCGTCGTCGCCGTCGGCACGTATAAAATACGCCGTGTCCATAGGCTCAGTCTAAGGAGTTTATTCAGTATAGTACAAGTCTATGGTCGATTCTCATGAATTTTAGACCTCTTGACAAGTGTACATTTGGCTATGAATTTGGTCAATTTACCACTCGAAATGATCGTATTTAGTATTAAAAATTTCTTTAATATTCGCCTGTCTTTTACCAAAATAAGGATCCACAAAATGCACATTTAAAATGGCGCGTTCACCGCTCAGAAGAGACCACTGGAGGTTCGTGCTTTTTATTGATAAATTAATGCTATGACTATCAACCTAATAGATACGCCTCACTGCTAGCCACAAAACTTCTTTAAATGCCGAATTTGGTTTGTGGGATTCAAGTCTTTGAACAGGTGTGAATCCTCTCTGTAAAGCAGTTTTCCTGCCATTACGTTCTTCTTTAATGCCATGGTACAATATAAAGCGATTATTACTACTTAATAATAAATGCTTTAATATGTTTTTCCTTTACATGTCTATTCTTTTGTTATTAATTTTTTTAAATTAAGTCGTTTCTGAAATCTGAATTCTGAAATATATACTTGGGTAACTACGTTCAGTCTGTGGCGACTTACAAATTGTATTGTTAATCGTGTTTCAGGGAGCCCTCGTTTATAACTACTTCCAGTAAAGTTTCCAGCATACCGTACTTTAGATTGGTAATTGTAATTCATGTATCAAGTTTTATAATAATAACGCACACACTCAACATAGCCCCGCACTAGGGAAACCCTGTGTCGCGGGTGCCATGGACACACATAGACAACCACAAATTACACCCAAACTGACGAGTATTTCTACAAATATTTCTCCCGGCCCAGGAATCGAACCTGGGACCTCTGCGTGGCAGTCCGGCATGGTAACCGTTCGGCCACGGAGGCAGTTTAACGAAGTAATTAATTTGTATATTTAGTTTTTTTATGATACCAAGTTACGGGACGAATATGTCGTACGCCTCGTGGCAAGCGACAGGCCTATCCATAAAGTTTCACTGCCATTCAGAGCTTTCAATCACAAAGACTTGAGGGACACTGCCACCGTGCCCGTCACGCTGAGACATAAGTTGACAAGTGCCATGTGCTTGTAAGTTGTAATTCCACCAGCACCGTTACCCTTCAAAACCAGAACGCAGTAATACTCATATAACTACTTGGCGGCAGAAATAGGTAAAGTCTGTTCCAATTCATTTTTAACAAAAAGTAAACAAACCTGTTTGGTTAAAATTCTAAGGCAATCACTCAATAAATCGAATAAGTAACACTTTCACGCATATTTCGAAGATTTCGACTTGATATCTCATCACTTTTTCCAACAATATTTATTTGAATAACGTCGTAAAATTGTATTTGAAAATTGGTTGTCCAAAAGTGAGGTTATTTTTCATCTATACATCTATGAATTGTCTATGGTTGCATAGTGCTGTACGAAAAAATGATTCGGTTCGTTCAATTTAAGTTTTTGTATTCGATTAGTAAATCAAATATTTCAATTGCAATCGAACGAGTATCCAAGTGTAAGGATTTGAAGGAGAGCTTAAAATTAAGATTTCGGAAATTTCAAATCTGCTTATATAGGTTATGTGGGAAAACCGCTAGTATAACACAATTAAACAAATCGATCCATTCAATTAATTAATCGATTTGTAGTTGGCATTACAAATGGCCATCACTAAACCGTCCATGATCAGGTCAGTGATTTGTTTGTTTACATTTTGTTGAAAATGGATTGAAACGAAGTATAATATAGCAGTACATAACTGGACAAACTCTTTCACAACACGCTCTAAGTACTACTACAAAAATAATTGCAGATATAAATAATAAAATAGTAATATCCAAATTAAAGTACACTAATATTAATAATTAAGGACCCACTTTGTTAATTATTTCTGTTTTATTATTTGGTTTTGTTGTAACTGCATGAGTATAGTACCTATAAGTACAAATAGATGTACGAGTGTCTACATAAAGATTATAAAATCTTTGAATGCCGCAAAAAGATCACAGTGGCTCAAAATGTATTATTGTAACGCCTTTATCACATGTGCATCACAAATAAATAAATGAATTTGGGTTTAAGATGTTTTATAATCTACTGAACCGATTTTAATTAGTGTTTATCTGTTTTATTAGACCAGTTTTAACGGGCAAGTCGATTTACTAGTTAAAAGAAATTTTTAAGCGATCGAAGTTGGTGATGGTCGATAGTGAAAAATAAACCTAGCTTATATTATATAGCTTCTGTATTTCTATTTATTCGTATATATTTATTTTTATGTAGCCGGTATTATCTCAAATAATAATATAATAATAATATTATAATATTTTTTCATGCTGTTAATTTTCCTAACCTCTCTACGTGAAATTAATAAAATAAATAACTCAACCGCACCTACAGTCATAGATCTCTACACCAGAAATATCCTCAACACGTGTTTCGCCTCTCTACGTGGCTCAGAGGTTGTTGATTGTTCGACGTTGGACTGAAGAAACATTCATTCATTCTTGTCTTGAAAAAAATATTCGCAGTTATTTTGCATTATTTAACCTCCACTGGGTTAGCAGAATTATTATTAGTTTTTATCTTCTAAATAATAAAAATGTGCATTCAAAATACCGTTCTTAAATTTGTTTTAAAATTCCAGTTTCGTTTCGCATCAAAAGAGGACAAGTTGATGATAACGGTTGCTATGTTAGCGACCATCTTTGCTGCACTCTCTCTTCCTTTTGCAATAACAATTGTGGCAAACGCGTTCCAAAGTATGATTGATTACGACAAATCCATCACGTATGGCACAAATAACGCTGAAGAATTTATGAATAACATGCACTGGTTTGGTATGAAATACTCTTGCATAGGCGTTATATTATTTGCGGGTGGATATGTCGGGACAGCGTTCATGAATATAGCTGCTATAAACCAGGTAAGTATGATTGTACTTTAACATTTACAGGTTAACAATTTTTGTTTGTGGATAATTTCTGTATCTTGTGGATATTTAGGTGTTTAAAATTCGTGAAGCATATATGCGAGCCGCTATGAATCAGGACTTCACTTACTATGATGAGCATTCAACCGGAGATTTGGCTTCCAAAATGACTAGGTGTGTACGCATAATGTCATTTGTTGGGTGTATGAAGTACAAAGTGAAAGACACTTGAAAGCGTCACTTATAACCTATTTTTTTTTATAATATCAAGTGACGGGACGAACAAGTAGTATTGCTCGTTCACTGACTTCCCTGAGAAGAACGAGCTGGAAACTCTAGGGATTGCTCTTTTCACATAAACTTAAATGTCATGGAATACACTTCGAATCAAATTTGTGTAGATTCTAGAGTCATGTCGTATTTCCATACGTCTTTATCTAACATGTAGTCTTCAATTTTGTAATATAACTGTTCAATTAAAATATTTTTGATGTAGTTTTTAAACTTAAGAAATGATAATTTGAATATATGCTCCGATATCTTATTGTAGAAACGCATACAGTTCCCCATAAAAGAGTCGTTTATCTTGGTTAAACAAAATCGTGGTACCATGAGTTTGGACTTAACTCTAAGTTAATATTATGGCTATCTTCTTTCTTATTAAAATTATGTATATTTTTATGGGCATAATATTAATATTTAAGTAAATGTACTGTGGTACCATTGATTGAGCTTTATTTTTATATTGAAAATCGTTCAATTTGAATAGTGATCTGATAAAACTGGAGGACGGTATTGGAGACAAGTTGACAGCTACGGTGTACAATTTGGCTATAGCTCTGGGATGCATCGTGATGTCGCTGTTGAAAGGCTGGAAACTGGCATTGCTGTGCCTGCTGACAGCACCCATTTCGTTTTTGCTCGTTGGAGTTACTGGCGCAGTATGTAAATTTCTGGTTTAAAACCTAATAGTTCGCTAAATCATTTTAGATTTTATTCTAAAGTAGGTATTTAATTCTCGGGCCATTTACAACACAGTGTGTTTATTAATTTTGAGGTTAAATTCCTCATTAATAGTAAAGTATTTACTTCAATAGCTTTGTAGATGTTGCATAACATGTTATTATTTCTTGTACAGCTTGCCCATCATTTATCGAAGCGAGCAGCAGTACAAACAGGTCTAGCAAGTGCCATTGCAGAAGAGGTTCTGAGCTCTATTCGCACAGTTTTTGCCTTTAACGGACAAAACACAGAAGTTAAAAGATACTCTAAACCTTTAGCTAAGGCGCGAAAAATTGAAATAAAAAAAGGTCGTTAGCATTATAAAACAAGCATTTATAACTATTATTTAAATATTTTCAGCCCTTTCAATTTCGTTTTGTACATACATTGTCTATAAACTGACATAATATTTTTTTAGATCTTTAAGCGCTACACAAATGTGAGTCTCATCAATTGGAGCTCAGATGTTTTAGCCTATCATATTTAGACACAATGATTGCAGCAACATATTTTATTCATGTTGCACTCGTAATTAATTCATTTAGGAAGTATAATTGAATTCTCTAAGCTCGTCTTGATAAGAGTCACACTTTTTCTGTGTGAAAACTAGTTTTCGGTATTAGAATTATTATTTACAGAGTTCTTCACGGGTCTGTCCATGGGTTTCTTGTTCTTTTGCATATTTTGCTCTTATGCCCTGTCTTTTTACTTTGGCATTTATCTTATAATCAACGAACCAGAAAACTATAACGCTGATGTCATGTTTTCGGTTAGTATTATGTATTGATAAAATAAAAGTAATGTATTAAGTGCATTTATTTATAAATTATTCACAACCCATTTGCACGTTTTTTATCGGTATTGTTACGTCGATAAAAAGTTTGTAAATACTATTTATCTGTTATCACATTTTAGATTAATAGTCATAAACCTATATGGACTTATTCAAGTACCATTATTAATCTATCAATGTAATTCTAGGTATTTTTCGGAGTAATGACGGGTCTAGGTAATTTAGGCATGGTCGGTTCACTTTTCACGGCATTTGGTTCAGCGCGTGGCGCGGGCGCATCGATTTTCCAACTAATAGACAACCTGCCTGTGATTAATCCATTGCTTGAACGTGGAATTAGACCAAAGCAAATTTATGGAAATGTAGAATTAAGAAATGTTTGGTTTGACTACCCCTGCAGACGCACTGTGCCTGTAAGTATACTTGTAAACTTGTGTCATTATTGTTATCTCATTATGTAATGTTTATAACTACGGACATTATGGTTACACATGTATGTAGCTGGGTACATTATAGCGGTGGTAAAGTCCACCAGTTCATTTTATCTGTGGCAGGTCCTGTGTGGCTTGAGCATAGAAATAAGGCGAGGCCAGTCAGTGGCGCTGGTCGGCCCTTCCGGCTGCGGCAAATCCACTGTCATATCCCTAATATCCCGGTATTACGACGTGACGGATGGCAGTGTAATTTTGTAACATTTCGTAAATACATTTTGATTTTATATTTTGTTTATCACAGTGTTCTTGACAGTCTATCTACATGTACATAATATAATATAATTAGTTCTGAGTGATGTATCAACACGCGGTCGTGTTTACAAATCAGAAACGTGAAATTGTGACTGTCGGTTCGTTTTGACACACCGGCTGCGTATTAGAAAGGATTTTTCATAATTCATCTTCTAAGACGTTTAAAAACCCACAAAACGGTTGTACGAAATTTTGAACCACTGAAATAAGAGAGTCATGAAATTTGTATTTAGACATTTTAGAAGTAATGATTATTTGTAATCATTATACTTCTAAAAAGTAAGTAATGAATAAATCGAATTTCTTTGAGTGTCTAATCTAAAACTTGGGTTGAAAGTAAATAATGAACAATTTTAAATATTCAATTAAGTTTGTGAGCGGACTACAGGTTGTTAAATTTATTTTCTGAATAAATTGCCTAAAATTTGGTAGATGAGCTCGTAGCTCATGTACACCCTGTACATGAGCTACGAGCTCATCTACAGCAAGAGCACTACGAGCAAGAGCACGTCAAACTTGACACTTAAGATTTAAATCCAACTCTATGCCGCTCACCATAAGAACAGTCTAAAGTACAAAGTGTCAAGCTTGACGTGCTCTTGATTGTACTATTGCAAATTAGCTTATGTTTCGGTTTTCCGAAGTTACCGCAAAAAGGGAATGCGGTGTAGTATCAATATTTGTCGTGGCAATCGTATTTATTAGGTGAAAACTTTATTAAAAATTTGGCATGAATATTCTTCAAAGCAGATAATGGTTTATGTTATTTTCTAATTTTTGAAACTACCGCTAAAAGAGGAAGTGCAAGAGATTGTATCGGTTTATAGCTTTTCTTGGGTTTGTTTATGCAAAATTAAATTATGAAAAGCGTATTAATTAATTTTTCGATAATTCGATACGTATTCATTAATTTTTAAATGAACCTTAACATCCCGTTTCACGCTTTTTAGAGGTAAATGAGTGCACTGATGTGCACAGGTCTCCTCTCAGGCTAGTAGGTCATAGTCCGCCACGCTGGCCCAATGCGGGTCGGGGACTTCACACGTTTCAGAGGGCTATCCTCGAACCTACTTCGACGTGTAGTTTCCATCACGAAAATTTCCTTCACCGAAAAGGTCATGGTAATTTTCAAATTAATTCGCACATAAATTCCCTAGAATCTCAGAAGTGCGAGCCCGGATTCGAACCTACTGTCTCTGCTTGAGTGGCTGAAGGTCAAATCATTAGGCTATCGTGGCTATGTCTCTATAACTCTGAAATTAATTCTGCGATTACCTAGTAAAATCTCTACGTGGAACTACTTTCTTATGAAGTGACTTTTACAAGTTAATTTTATGTAGGTGTTAATAGATGGAACAGATGTAAGATCGCTGTCGGTGCAGTGGCTCCGTGCGCAGATCGGGATTGTGGGCCAAGAACCCGTGCTGTTCAACACTTCGGTGCTAGAGAATATCCGCTACGGGCGGGAGGACGCCACAGACGCGGAAATAACAGCCGCTGCTAAACAGGCGAATGCGCATGACTTTATTATGTATCTTCCAAAGGTTAGCTACGTTTCTAAATAATAAATTCTAAATACACTTGCTTTTATCATAAGTAATTTTTCAATAGTTCCAAACATTGGATTTATCGTGAACAGTGGGAATGTTACTGGATCTATGTTTTATTCTATGTTTAATTAAGCATTTATGTGTTATGTTTTAGCAATATAACATTTTACCAAACGCTGGATAAGTAGATTAGATACTTAGTATATATTCATCTAGGCGAAGTAGTTCTGTTTGTAGGTACTTACTCACTACTTTTCAGGGTTATGCAACCCTGGTAGGTGAGAGTGGGGCGTCATTGTCTGGTGGTCAAAAACAGCGTATTGCGATAGCGCGAGCACTGATTCGCAACCCGGCCATTTTGATGCTCGATGAGGCCACTAGCGCTTTAGATACTACCTCCGAAGCTAAAGTTCAACTTGCCCTTGACCAAGTAAGAGCCAAACATTTTTAAGTTGCGATACAAAAGTGAATCAAGTTGGGTATCACCTTCTAGTAGGTTATAATAGTCTGTGTTATTCAACTTAATTGCATTCCCATTTTTTTTATTTGCTTGTATCGTATTCTCCTTTCATTTGATTCGGAATGTTTCAAATTGTCTATGCCTATTACAGGCTTCTCAAGGACGCACGACTTTAATAGTGGCTCATCGGCTATCTACGATTCGCCGTGTAGATACTATATACGTTATGAATGAAGGACAGGTGGTCGAACGCGGTTCACACATGGAGTTAGTTGCTAAAAAGGGCATGTACTATAACATGCTAATTCTTCAGGATCCCCTTGCTGTCGCCGAGAGGGATCAAAATGCTACGGTCAGTCGAGGTTGGACTTATTTACTTTCTACGGCACATGTATATTTACATACAAATCGGTAAATTGCCACTCACTTGGTGGTTGTTTTTTTTATGGTACACAGAGTGGTAAACATTGTGAACCCAGACTTTTAGAAAATGGTTACTTTGCCTATAAACATTTGCGCTACTCGTGATAAGATCTTTAGCCCTAATGATTGTGATAGCAATACCAGAAAATATAGTATGAACATAAATCTGTTGTCTCTCGTGTTGATATTTCTACTTTTATAAAATTGATTGGTTAGTGTAAAAACGTACCGTCTATCGCCCAAAGCCAATAAATAGGTGCTAAAGAATGTTCTTACCGTCGCTCATCCGCCGACCGTAGGTCTTAATCTGTAGCTTGCGTCTGGGATTGTCTTTGATTGTCATGGCTTACTAGGCAGACTACTAGGAAATAATATATTGCTACCTCCAAAAAGAAGTGTAGTTGTAGTTATAAAAACAAGTGTATATAGTTCTTATTTGTTTTACAGAAGACCTTGTTTCGGTCACCGGGACAGTACTGTCAACGGCATCCACAAACAGCTATAAAAGTTTTATGGTACGTTACGATTATTTTATCTGAAATTTATGTGTACCGCAAGGTTCAATCTGAGTATTCGAGTGATTCTCTTATCAAATAATTATAAGGGCACCCTATAGAATTTGTACATTAGCTGTATTTATGATAGGAATGCCCGCGAAATTGTTATTAATTTTAATTATAAACTTAAAACAAATTGCTGATTTAATCACGTAAACTAGATTTAACCGGCAATGATTAAAGTGGTTAAGGCTAAATAAGCATAAGTAAAGATGAAATACCTTCGTAGCTTTTTGGAAGGCATATTATTTCCCTTTTATGGCGTTGTCGATCTTGACTCTTGAAGTACATAAGTATGTAAGTTTAACTTTGTTTTTTTTTTATAATATCAAGTGACGGGACAAACAAGTCGTGCGCCAGATGGTAAGCTGCACGGCTGTCCATAACAGTTGCAGTGCCAGTCAGAGCTTTGACAGAAATTTACACCTGTCACCTTGAGACATAAGTTAACAAGTCCCATGTACCTGTAATTTCACCAGTACCGTTACCCTTCAAAACCGGAACACAGTAACGCTAACATTACTGCTTGGCGGCAGAAATAGGTAAGGTGGCAGTACTTCCCCGGATGAACTCTTTCACAAGGAGCTGTACTGCTACTAAAATTTAATATTTAGGTTAAAATACTAGAAGTATCAGAAGTCATAAAAATAAATCCATTTTCGTGTATAAAAACTGTTTCATCCTTGAACGCTATGTAGCTACTAAGGAAAAAGAAAATAACCATTGGACAGCGACATAAAACCTCGTTTTTCCTGTAGCTATGTTTCCATTTAACTATGTGCTAGCACTATCTCATTTTAAAGTAAAACGTTATGTAAGGATCTGTAAAAGGCCCGAAACGTTGATTTGTTTGAAAAAATAAATATACGCAATTTACTTTCGAAAAATGCTTAATATGTTCCTATGTACAATAATCGCAAGAACCTAAGAACTCGATACGTTTGTTTAACCTTAGTGTACTGTTTCTCTAGTCGAAAGAAGAAGTTAAAGGCATGGCGATTGGGCTGTCCTTCTGGAGCGTCATAAAGCTAAACGCGCCAGAGTGGAAGTCCATCACAGTGGGCTGCGTGTGCGCTACTGCCATTGGCTTGGCAATGCCGCTATTTGTACTAGTTTTTGGAGATCTGTTCGGAGTAAGAATTTTAATTGTTTGTTGTATTCGACAAATATTTGTTTATTTTTCTTTATCTAGTCCGGGATTTTATCTTTTGCTTTCTATTGTAAGGTGTATTTTTTATCAATTTTGTATATATAAAATAATTCCGTAATGAATGTGTTTCATAGCGGAGTTTCATGAATGTTGTCCGTAGGCAATGTACGGTTGTTGTGGGGGGTACTTTGCTACGCGTGGTCGGCGTAGCACCGAGTAGCGCTCGCAACCATTAAAAGATTACATTGTATGACACCACGCTGTGTGTAAATGTATCATACTTTATTGCTTTTTTTATGAAACCAAGTAAAGTGTACGTACCTCGCGTGCCCAAAGTAAGTGAAATTCACTTACTTGCCGCTGCTACACTTCAGAACGCGCTCGACCGTTATCGTAGATAAACATCAGTTGAAAACGCGAAAAATGCATAATTGTGCCATTATAAACTGCAAATGCACCATAACTGCGGGTAAACGGGTAAACAGGGACGTTTCCTTCCACGAGCAAATGATTTTGTAATCATAAGATGCATAATTTATTTTAAAATCAACTATTTTGGTTTTGTATGAATTTCGAGAAAACAAATATGCAACCGAGTGTATGCCTCATTATTTGTAATACATTGCGGCTTTTATTTGGTGCGATATATTTGTGATCCTTTGTTAATACGCCATGAATATCGAACGAACGCACTTTTGCATAATGCATTCGGTTTCGTGTACATACAAATTCAAATTCAAATTCAAATTCAAATTTAAAATAATCTTTATTTCATAGGTAAGCATTATTACACTTGAAATCGTTACAATGGTTAAACTCTACCGCTCATTCGTAAGGCAGATTCCCCTGAGAAGAATGAGCAAGAAACACTAGGGGTTGCTCTTTGTAAATAATATTTACAATATTATATTTTTTATTCGAAACATCAGAGATCGAGACTACCTCCATGAGCTAAACGGGTTACTATCACGGATTTTTGTCATCTAAGTACGCAGAAGTTGTATAATAACCTTTAGTATAAAGTTTTTGTTTCACTATAGTTTTAAACCTCGTGAAAGGCAAATTTTGTATATTAACCGGAATCTTGTTATAGAAGCGTATACATTGCCCCTTAAATTTTTGACTTTGTGAAGACGACTATCAAGAAGAGCTAGTTTATTTCTATTCCTCGTATTAATGTTATGTCTATCACTATTTTACATAAAGAAATTACTATTCCTTTTAACATAAATTACATTTTCATAAATGTACTGTGAGGCTAGCGTAAGAATGTTAATTTCCTTAAACTTATCTCTCAAAGATACTTTGGGGCCCAGATTGTAAATTGCCCTAACTGCACGTTTTTGCAGGACAAAGATTCTATTGATATCGGCGGCATTACCCCAAAGCAAAATGCCGTATGTCATTAGACTGTGAATGTAGCTGAAGTAAACCAATCTAGCGGTTTTGACGTCTGAAAGTTTCCTTATTTTTTTAATCGCGTACACTGCATAGCCGAGTTGATAACTTACTTATATGGGGACCCCATTGCAATTTAGCATCTAACGTTATACCTAGAAATACAACTGTATCCACAAGATTCAATTTTTCGTTTCTAACTACAATGTTTGTAACCGTCTCTCTAACATTGGGTAATGTAAATTTCACACAATTTGTTTTTTTCTCATTAAGAAGTAGGTTATTAACAGCAAATCAATCAACTACTTTACATATAGCTTTACTATATACTTTTACTTTAGTTATACGGCCGCTTGTATGGGCAACGGCACACCAGACTACACATTTTTGTTCGAAAATCGCCTCCAGTGCAACGGAACAAGATACGTCAATGTGTAGCTTGATGTGCTGGCGTGTGTACACTTTTTTGGCCAAATTAACATTTAGTGCTGTCTACGTTGGGCAACACTGTTCTCGATTAACAAAGCTTAGAGCATATAGGACTGGAAACGTCATTGATAGGCAATCCCCTCTGTCTAGGTAACATAATGCATTCAGTTTCTGTGGTACGACCGCTTGTACATTTTTTGCCCAAATTTAAAATTTAGTGATGTATGCGTTAGGCAACATTATTCTCGATTCTGATCGATTTTGAAAACAAAGGGACGAAAATTGTTATGGCCTTAGCAATATTATAAAAATATTCTATAACTTTTTTGTTATAACGTTTACTAACGTTTCGTTTTTTTTTTCAGTTTTATAGTATCTATTATCAGTAGTATCTGTAATTTCGATAATTTTTGCAGCACGTTGCCTCGAATGTCCGAATATAGTGAGATCTCAGATGTAGATCCATACCATACTGATACTTTGTTCTTATTCGCTTTTCTTTCAGTCGATGGCGGATACTCAACCTGAGAAATTGATGCTAAAAGTGTCGCACGTTTCGACAGTGTGTATCATTATCGGCATAATAATGGGGCTATCTCATTTGATTGAGGTAGTTATACATAACCATAGATATAATATAATAATAGTAGAACTTTTGCACGTACGTACATAAAGTGCGTATTTGATGATTTTGTAATGGTTGTGAGATTTTGGGTTCTGCAAACCTTTGAGGAATCAATGTTGATTATCATTTACTACTTAATGTGTAATATACCTACGATTATGGTATATACATAGTGTATGTTTGTAGACTTTGTCATTTGGAATAGCGGGGTCGTACCTAACGCAGCGTCTACGTCTACGCATGTTTGAACACCTACTACAGCAGGACGTATCGTACTTTGATGACAGAGCTAATTCTACGGGCGCCCTATGCGCTCGGTTGTCCGGAGAAGCTTCTCATGTGCAAGGTGTAAGTTTGTTTTCGTTCATAATAATACATTCGTCAAAGGCGGTACTCTAGAATATTGTACAATAATAATGTACAAACATGTTTTGACCTCTGTATACTTTAGGGCCTGATTATACCGGGTGGAAATTTGTATTGCCACCTGGAAGGAAAGTACTGTAAATACTGGGGATAGAAATTTTTACTTAATGGAAACATTCCATTATTTTTTTAAAGAAATAAAACTGCATTCATAGATTTTCGAAAATTTCTAGCAACACGCGGAAATCGAACTTTATCGAGCTCTTAGGTTTTCACGATTGTTACACATAGGAAATGAAACTATTTTTCCGGATTTAAATCGCGTATATTTGTTTTATCAAACAAACCGACGTTTCGGGCTATTTACAGGTCCCGTTTACAGTCAACCGTAACCATGGGACCTGTAAAGGGCCCGAAAACGTCGGTTTGTTTGAAAAAACAAATATACGCGATTTAAATCCGGAAAAATAGTTTCATTTCCTATTTGAAATTTTAGTTAAAAATATCTTTTAAATACATATTTTGGCGGTGGAGCAAATTTTTTGTTGACTAAAGGACTAACCACACATATCAGGGCAGTGGACGGGCCGTGCCAGACAGGGGCGGAGCTCAAAAAAATTTCGCTACGTATATTTTGTATGAACTAGTTCGGCGTCGCGTCGGAGCTTCAGTGTCCGGGCAGACGCCGCGTGACATGCGTAGTAGGGATGTCCACTTAAAAAATACATCGATGTCTTCATTCGATGTAAAACATCGAAACCTTGCATCGATGTATTTCGATGCATCGCTTAAAAACATCGATGTTTTTTCATCGAATACTTTTTTGTTTTTCTTAGCTTAACAGTGTACGTAGACTAACACTATACCAATAGAGTGTCGCAGTCGCTGTAGTGACGTGTATATGATACTGTGTGTAAGTTTAGTAGCACTGGTCAAGAGAAGCCAGGAACTTAGAAATGTTTTTACGCAAGAATAATTCCTTGTAGGTATGTTTTTTGCGATTAGGTAAACTGTCTAAAATATACAAATAAGTTCGATACGTTCAATTATTCATTCACGGAAGAAGGAAATAGTTCTAGTTCAAATTTGGTGTCAAGACGTGTCACCATACTAGAGTTGTACAAAAACGGGAAACAGACTATTACCAAATGGATTAGATAAATTATTGTTTTTAACTGATTGTGCAGAAAAAGAGTAAGAAATTTAAGTAACACAAGTTATTGAAATCAGATGCAAACGCGATGCAGTAGCGATGCCGTTGCTAATCGTGTAACTTTACACATGCGCGCGATTTTAAGCAGCGATGCAAACGCGATGCAACCGCGCGACTGCATCGATACAAATTGCATGACTACACTTATATCCTAAGTGTAGCAGTGCATTCGCGCGTTTCACGAACACGCGTTTACATCGCTGCCAAAAGTCGCCCTGTGTAACCACTCTTGATACGATACTTTTTATTCGATGCTACTCATGAGTGCAGTATCGATCAGAAGAATTTCTTATCCACGATCTAGTCATGTTCCAGACGTGTGTGAACAGAAAGCCCTTGACGGGACACAGACTCACGGTCTAGGTACGGCCACGGCCCTGATGTGTGTGTAACCACATAGTGTCGACATTTTTTTGCTTATTTAACTTATGATCATGCTGAAAATGAAACTGATATTCGTTTTACAACATCTCGACTAATATCAGAGGTATGTTATACGAGTAGACGTTATAGTTAGTGTCTTTTTTTACCAAAACAATAGTAGTGTTCACGTAGTTTGTATGGCGTCATTGAAGTTAGGTCACGAATTATTTTTTTCCAGGCTACTGGCAGTCGTGTAGGGGTAATTCTCCAAGGTGCTGCTTCGATATGCCTAGCGTTAACCTTGGCCATGCTATATGAATACCGTGTCGGATTAGTGTCTTTATGTTTCTTCCCCTTTGTCGCTATCGTCGTTTACTTTGAAAGTCAAGCTGTTACCCAGGAATCTTTCGGAAACGCCAAGACACTTGAGAACAGTACTAAGGTAAGACTTGAATGTTTTGTGCTTAATAAAATTTAGTAAATATACAAACAATGGCACGTCTCCCTTTACTGTGCTACAAACGATAGGACAGTCCCAAATCCGAAAAGTAAAAGCCCAGCGTGCATTTTTTGAGCATTGACTGTACAATGTATGTAATACACGTAGAGTACGAATAAGAGAGTCACCACATTTATTAACGCGGATTGGCTAGAGTTTGTGATAACTCTGGCATAACATTTTGTAAACCGATTTTGATGATTCTTGGAAAGTTGAAGTTTTGTTGGAAAGAGGGTACCTTAGTATTGATCCCATTTAAATTTAAAGAAAATATTCCACCTCTGATTGTGGCCAACTAGGGGATGAATCCGGTTTCGCACACTTTCCGATAATCGATTTCAATAAAACTTGGCAAATCATTCCACAAACTTTTGAGGTCGGTTTTTTCTAAAAAAAAAATTACAATTATTTCTGACCAATTTCATGCGATTCCGTGTCGATAAATGTGACGAATTCATAAAAATTTATTATTCGTTGATACACGGTATGCGATTTTTATACGGTAAATTATAATTATGGTAAAGTTAAAAATTTTTTGTTCCCCTGCGTTTTAATTCGAGTTTGGCACGGGATATCTTATTAACAAGGAGCTATGTAGAACGTACGTTAACCCAAAAAAGAGAGATGACAGCGTATGAAAAATAGAGACCAACAAACAAGAAGATTATCACGTGTAGTAACTAGGGACTTGTAGCGCAATTTGAGAAAGGCTTGAGCTGATAACGAAATAATATTATTGCAAGAGAAAAATGTCAGTTATGGTTACTCTGTGGCAGCCCACTATCAGGTGTGGTACACGAGGAAATGGACGAATCACGGAACATTTTTTAAAAGTAATTTAAAATGGTGTCAGCATGGTGTCAACATTATGAAGACGGAATAAAAATGAATATCATAGCAAAACATAGATCTGAGATTTTTTTTAAATTTTGGCATCAAACTCTTAAGTTATAAAACTAGACTTCCTGCTACGTGGGCAAGTGATAGGAGAAATTACTTTAAAAGATAATAAATTGGTTTAAAAAAATATGAATAGAGGCAAGTCACCTGACCATAACAGCCTAAATGTGGAACCTTTGATATTTGGTGGGAAGCAGCTGCCAAGAGTTTTGCATATTTTATTTAACTTGTATATTGGTCATCGATATGTGCCGCCGGAATTGATACATACAGTGGTTGTACCAATTGTAAAAAATATGACTGGTGACATATCTTCGACTAGTAATTACAGACCCGTATCATTGGCAACTGCTGTAGTAAAGGTTTTGGATGGTATTCTGAACATGTGTCTGCAAATGTGTTTCAGACTTTAACACATTTGCAGACACATGTTCACTTTGGTCTATGGTCAGTTTGGTTTTCGGTCATGTCTGTCAACGGAGTTGACAATTTTAAGTCTAAAACACACAGTGTCATACTGCACTTAACGGAAGACAAAAGTATACATATGCTTTTTGGATCTTTCCAAGGCCTTTGACCTGGTTAATTACAGTCTGCTGTGGAAAATATTAAAGGTATCAGAGATGTCTAAGGAGTGCATTAATTTGTTTAAATTTTGGTATAGCAATCAAAGTAACTCCGTAAAATGGTCAAATGAATGTTCAGTCGATTATGTACTAAGTTGTGGAGTTAAACAGTGGGGTTAGGCTCTTCCAGTTTGTTTAACCTCAATGTTAACGGACTCATTGAGGAGCTGAGCAGCAGTCATATTGGAGAAGTGTTAATAATGTAAGCTATGCAGATGACATGGTGCTGCTCACCCCTTCAATTTGAGGGTTGAAGAAACTAATTTTCATCTTTGAAGAAGATGCAAAGATACACCGCTTGGTTTATAATATTAAGAAATCAGTTTTTATGGTCTTCAAATACAAAAATGACCAGATTTTGTACCTGATGTGTCTGAATGGTAGCAGGTTGGTTAAGGTAGATAAATTCTGCTATCTTGGTCATATAGTTACTGAAAATCTTAGTGATAATGACTATATTGAGCGAGAAAGGAGGGCATTATTGGCAATGCGTGGTAATATATTGGCCATGAGATTTGCACGCTGTTCAGATCAAAGTAACGCTCTTTAAGGCGTACTGTCAGATACCGTACAGATACGTGTAGTTTGTGGGTTAACTGTACCAAACAAGCGTACAATGATATCCGCGAGCAATATAATGATGTATTTAGAGTTATGTTTAAATTGCCCAGATACTGTAGTGCATTTGAAATGTTTTTGTTAGCACGTACGGACGGTTTGCTGCTGTGCATAGAAAGAGAGTTTCTTCTCTTAGACAGAGAGTGCTAGACAGTACTAATAGCATTATAGCTGTTGTGACATTAGATTTCTATTATTAATAATTAAGTATACCGATTTATTGTATATAAGAAGTTATATCTAATATTTAATTCTAATTTAATATTATTGAAATTCCATGCGTTTATATCTGAAATAAATGCTTATTATTCTTATTAATATGTGATATATCAGATTCTTCGTTTACACTTTTCGAATTGTTGAAGACAGATAGCAGTAGAAACAATGTTAAATATTCGTACTGTGGTGTCTCTTGGACGTGAAAAGCAAGTGCTAAAGGAGTATACGGCCCAGCTGCGACCGGCGTTGAGGCCTGCCAAACGGACAGCCCATTTCAGAGCAGTGGTCGCGGGCCTTTCAAGGTCTATTTTCAACTTTATCAACGCTGCTGCTCTCACGTATGGTAGCCACTTGATTGTCTCCGAAGGACTTCCGTATAAAAATATTATTATGTGAGTATTGGTAAAGCAACAAATATACTCCCGGACACATAATTCGAGCCACCTCGGGTATTTGCCTTAAAGGGTTAGAATACAAAAATAGTTTTATCATCGAAGAAAAAGATTTCCCCCAGTTTTGCAAATCCAAATTTCTAACAAGGACTTATGGAAAAGACTTAATATACTAGTTTCAAAATTGCGTAGGTTAGTTCTTGATTAGGGCATATAATACAGATGCGAGGTGGCTCGAATGAAATGTCCGGGAGTAATATAATATATTCATGTTGTCAAGTGCTGTTGTTTATGAGTATTATCATTTGAAAAAACTAAGTTGACCCTGTCTATAATGAACTGAAAAGACAAGGGTAGTAAATGCTAAGATGTTAATTGTAGTTTTAAAAGCTGTACATTTTTAAATTTAGTTCAAAATTCTTATACTTAACGTCACTCTTTAGGTGTAACCGGGGCGGGCAAACATCAGTCATGTTGTCGACTCCCGTGTCAAAAGACTTGTCAATTAGTATAAAGCTTCATTCGCATCACGCGTCTTTTTCATTTGGTCGAGTATTACTTATTTGACAGTGATTGTTTACAGACGTCAGACGGAGGACGGGAGTAAGCGGGATTACATATTAATTTGTCATGTTCATTGCTTATTATATTGTGCAGAACGACGCAGTCTCTGCAAATAGCGTCAAGTCAAGGTCAAAACGCGTTCGCATACGCGCCGGAAATACAGAAAGGCATCAACGCAGCGTCAAGAGCAGTCGCTCTTTTAAATACCCGGCCCAAGTTAAAGGACCCTGAAGTACCTGCTGCCGATCCATTTGTTAGTAAATTTTACACGATCCTTGTCTTGAATTTAGCGAACAAGGTCTGTTAACGCGGTTGCGATTTTATACTTTAGTACCCTACTAGGGTCGTTTCCAGATAATGTGTCCCTTTCAATGACTTTTATGTTATTACATGAATGCTAAACACTATTTATTTAATATGATTGCTTGCTTACTTAGTTTGTGTTACACATAAAAATACTACTTTACTACGTCACAGTAATAAATAAAAATTAAAAAAGTGGTCAATTTCTCATTCATGGGAGCCCGTTTCACGTCGCCCTAATTTTAAGAAAAAAAGAAAAAATGAAACACTCGTGGAATCGCAATATTTCCCATCGAGGATAAACTCAATACCTTACACGTCGAATACATACCGTAACTTTCCAATTTACTATAAACAAACATGTTTTATTTGGAATACATAATGTGTTTCAGTTTTTCTTATCATTAGTGTCAATTCAACTAAAAGCCTCCTAATAACAAAAGTTCATACCGCATCATCTTCACCCTTCGCACACGTGAGAACGGGCTCCTGTCGGATTGGAGCGTATACAGTTAAGTAACCTGTGCATCTCCGTTAGCAAAAAATCGACTTAAATACCAATTTCAGCGCTAATTACTAAATCGTTCTCATTCATGTAAAGCAATCTATCTAAATAAGTATTAAGTAATAGTTTTATAAACTATATTGTACATCAATTAGACAAAGGGAACTTTAAAATCCATGCACTTTTATAACCGTCCAGCATATTTTACACACTTGACAATTAAAAATGTATCCAAATGTCATTATTGTCGCTCTCATTTTTGTCTACCTTTAAGTCAAATAGTTACTTTAAGCCAAACATTTACTTGAAATATAACAATTAGATGGTGATGACGGTGGTGACAATGATGATTGTGGTGATGACGACGATAATGACGATGATTGTGATGATGATGTTGTTGGTGGTGACGATGATACATTGATGTACAACAAAGTTTATACGACATTAACAAAATACTTATTTAGATTTATTTATTTAATTATATATAGATAGATAGATGGTCTTACACGAATGAGAAGGATTTTGATACAAGAAGTTATATTAAAATATTTGTTACAAATTTAACAAATGTTCTTTTGTGAACGACCAAATGTGTGTTGTAATAATAATTTTTCATTACTGTGCCGTCTTTCTTATTTATGTTTACGAGAAAATCATTCGTGTTACTGCTATATCATTCGTGTGACCTAAAATATCGTTTTTGGTTTTATAATTATTGGCATTGCTTGAACTTATTAGTGCGTTTAAGACCTTAAAACAAAAAAAAGGGTTTTACAAAAATCACTCAAAAAGTGCCATTGAAATTCGGAAAGTGAAACTCACCCACTAGAGCGTTCTGTGCTGGTTAGAATTTGCATATACAATGTACACAATTTAGAGTGAATAATGAATCACACTTACGTGAGTCTTAAGGGCGTTCTTACACTCACCTTCACTTCTTGTCTAACCTCAACATAAAGGTGTCGGATGGCCAAGCGAGCTTTAATGACGTGATATTCAAGTATCCAACAAGATCTAACGTCAAAGTTTTGCGGCGAATGGATTTAGAGGTAAGGAGGAAATTAACGTAGATATGTGTCTTTTAATGTATTAAATACTTAAAGTGTGTACTCTTAATCTGTTCACTTTAACAATTTTAATCTGACCTTAAAATTCCAAGTTCAATTTTAACTATTTGCAATGTATCTGCAAGATCACGAAGGAATTTTTAATCTGTGTCGTTGGGGGCATGGGACTAAATCGTTTTATGTTTATTGTAGATCGAGAGCGGAAAGACCATCGCGTTGGTGGGTGAAAGTGGCTGCGGTAAAAGCACTGTCATCAAACTTTTACAGCGGTTTTATGACCCCGACGATGGGACTGTAGTAAGAATGTCGATTGATTTTTGTTACTTATTTTCTCTTTTATTTTGTTAATTCTAATGACAGCTAGCAAACAGCAATCGAAACTGTTTTGCATTGAAAGTAAATATTTTTTAAAGTGTAACAATTTATGATAAAAAGGGAGTACAACTAAGGGGCCAATGAAATTTGTTCGTGAGTTCGCTATAAGTTTCCGGAATGAATAAGAAAAAAATACTATAAATGGTCAGAAATGACTTTATTGTTTCTCAAAATATTCTCTGTTAGCGTTAACGCACTTTTTCATACGAATTAACCAATTGTGAAAACATTTATGCCACTCCTCCGTGACCATCTCTGAAACATATTTTTCATACTCTTCGACAGCCTGTTCAGGTGATGAAAATCGTTGACCGCGTAACTGGTTCTTAATTTTTGGAAATAAATAAAAGTCACAAGGTACCTGGTCGGGACTGTACGCGGGGTGGTTATAAGCTCAACGTTGTTCACCTTCAAAAATTCATTTGTCTGTCTGGTTATGTGAGAACTGGCATTATCGTGGCGCAAGATGATACGGCGTTTACAGTTATTTTTACGGAGTTTGTCAATAACGTCCGGCAAACAAATGGTCGTGTATCAATCATTATTCACGGTACAACGATTCTCCAAAGCAACAGTAGCCACGTGTCCAGCTTTATTAAAAAAAGGAGCAATGAACCGCTTAGAGGCACATTGCACGCGCGCCACTTTGATTGGTTTCGGCACATCTCGAAAGACCCATACGCTCGATTGCTGCTTTGTTTTGGAATCGTAACTATAAATCCATGATTCGTCACCTGTTATGCTACGTCCCACACCAAATTTGACGCCCCTTCGTTGAATCTGGTAAGCATGGCATTGCACCAATTGACGTGATCCGTTTTTTTTTTGAGTCTTAGTCAAATTGTGTGGGATCCGCTGAGAGCACAGATTTTTCACACCCAAATGTTTGTGTAGTATTGATTGTATTTGACTCATACCTATGCCTAAAGATGCCCGAACCTCATGGTATGTCACATGCCTGTCTGTTTTGATCATACGGCGCACAGCATCGATGTTTTTGTTGTTCACAGCAGTGGACGGGCGACCTTCACGAAATTCGTAATTGAGATTCACACGACAGCGTGTGAATTCTGCAAACTCGCTATAAATAGTCGTCTTGCATGGTGCTTCATCGCCAAAAGTAGTTTGAAGTCAAGCTAAGCTCCGTTGAGCTGTTGAATTACACTTAAAGTCGTAGAAAATCGTACTACGGTAATTTTCACGAGTTAAATCCACGGTGATGTAGACAACCAATTTCTAAAATAACGCCACAATGTAAAAACAAGTGACAGCCAAATGAAACAAACTGTTTTCTACATCCAAAGAGTTCCATTTTCAAAAATTGTTTATGTAAGTGGCCAGTTACGGAAACTTATAGTGCGCCCTATGGACACCAGAAAAAAGAATAGAACACAGGAAGTATCTTGCTTAGTTATATTATATGTTAATATTAGAAAAATACTTAGACGTATACGCTTACTTTAACAGTAATATAATAATAAATATTTATCATCATATCAGGCCTTAGATGGAACTCCTATACCCCAATTGCGAATTAACGAGGTTCGTGCCAGCTTCGGTTTAGTCGCCCAGGAACCAGTACTCTTCGACCGCACTATAGCTGAGAATATTGCCTATGGAGATAACTCGAGAACTCCGTCTCAAAGGGAGATTGAGGACGCGGCAAAGCGAGCCAATATTCACAACTTTATTGTAGGATTACCACTTGTAAGATTTGCTTTTTTTACTAGTAGGCACTTCATATTTACTTAATTAGGTACCTTACTGTATTGTAATTAATAATTGTGTGTATAATTAAGTACCTTTTATAGGTACCTTCCTGTAACATATTTTGCTCCTATTGTATACAAATTAAAGTTACAAAAGGTTGTGATTAAGCCAAAGTAAGTAACGGCCACGGAAGCTTATCATGGACATGTCTCGTATGCTCTTCATATATCAATTCATTATCTATCAATTCACTGGTCTCCAGACGTAAATGCATGTGCTTTAGAACACGTTTGCATGAACGTTTTCCATAATCTCTAGCAAGTGATAATTAAAAAAATATTATTTAATTTGTTAGGGTTACGATTCAAATATCGGTACAAAAGGCGTCCAACTATCCGGTGGTCAGAAGCAGAGAGTGGCAATCGCAAGGGCTTTAGTGAGATGTCCAAAAATACTACTGCTGGATGAAGCGACCAGCGCTCTTGATACTGAGAGCGAAAAGGTACCTGCTACTATAATGCAATCTAATCAATTCATAGAACTTTGACTATTACTAATTTCAATGGGTAGGTAATACGAACGATAATTGTTATATATATGTAGTGGCGGAGATACTTTTGACAAACTTTAAAACATAGTAGATTAATGTTTACTAAGATTGATTCTCGTGGAATTGGAATTAAACCACGCAAATATGGAATGGTGATTCGAATGTTCATTTGTTCGAACTTGATTGTTGCGTTTTTTGGCTTCAATTCCGTGACAATAGTCTTCCATAACATTGACGGGAATCACTTTCATAGTTACGAACCTTTGTAAGTGCTCTGAACTCTTATGGGGTTAAGTATAGAGCTCACGTTCAGTTTGTAATCTTTCTGATGCAGTTGGTACAAGCAGCTTTAGACCAGGCGAAAGTTGGTCGCACCTGTGTTACGATCGCACATCGCCTCAGCACAGTCCGTGACTCCGACGTCATTTGTGTACTAGAACATGGTCGAGTCGCTGAGACAGGCACGCATGATCAACTTATGAAAATTAAAAAACTGTATTACCACCTTCATAAACGAATTTCGTCATAAAGTAGGTCGTGTAGTGAACTCTATTTATTTATTTATTTATTTATTTATTTTGAGGATTAAGTAGGCGTTCCTAAAGGGAGATAGAGCTGAGTGAGTATTGAGACATTTATTACCAAAGGCGGGCTTGAACTGAGCAACGGCAGCCATCGGCATTTTGCACATACTTAGTTGTTGATCTGTGTAACTCAATTCATAGTGTCTACAACTTTTTCGAGACGACGAATTATACTTCAATGCTAGTAAGCTTTAAATTATTGTAAGCAGTTTCAATTGTAAATATTATGCGAGGTTTATCATACTGTTATGTTTAAAATTACAAGTGATTTATAAAAATGTTTTTGCGTCTCAATTATTTTGGATTTTATTTTTACGTACTTCCCTATGCATTTATGTATTTTCTATTAGCTGTCGTGTAGGTGAATTAATACTTAAATAAATCATTGCATTTAAAAAAATATACGACGAATTTTTTCCAAGTACTAACCGTATTTTTACACAAAGTGCCTTAGTGTAATGCTCGTGCAAATTTATTTAAAAAAATGATGTTTTGATATTAATATTGTCACAGTTAGCTGCAATGTTAATGGTAAGTTTACAAGTTGATTCGTTATCATTGTTGCTATTAAAACAACTTATATATTCTTTGTAACTGTTAGGCTAAAATTGGCTACAGTATTTAATGATTGTTTACGAAACAAATACTAAGATAAACTCGTTACGTGTATCTTTAAAATTTCTTCGTAAAAAGTCTGGTCTTACTGGCGTTGTATATCATCTAAAAACAATGCGATTAACAATCAATTGAAAATTCAGTCTCTTAAAAGCTGTGTTCAGGCTATTTAGTTCAGTCGGGATCCAAGTATCGTAGTGGACGGTCACTTCTCCGCCCAACGCCGTATCGCATTGTAAACTCGAACATCGCGCGTAAATCTTATCGCTTATCACAACAAAGTATGACACATAAAATTACCTCAAGACTCAAGATAAAGGACACTCGAGCGATAAGCATCGCGGACTGATTTCATTCAATTCTCACTATTTGTTACCCATTCCCAAAATAGCGGATATTTCTTGAGAATGTTGACGATTTTGTTATCTATTTGATTGGTGCGTTTATGTGATCAAAAGACAATTTCCTCAGTGACACAAAGTATCAATATGTATAAACTAGTGCTAGCATTTTTGTTAATTATAAATTGTGTAGACTGTAATCCTTGTACAAGGGTGGAGAGTATAGACATAACGACTGCAGAAGTGTTTGCAAATGGTTCTATAGTCCATAATGGTATTGAATATTCGCAAAGTGTGTGGTATGAAGTGAAGGAGAACGGAGAGAAGTTACGTTTTGGATGTCCATGTATTGGGAGAACATGTTTATGGAAGTGCTGTAACCTTGGCGAAATGTACGTGAACAGGAACTGTACTAGCAGTGATTCGCCTGAAGTCAACCCGTTTTCCCCATCGGTCTACACGGGCACGGAGAAAATGAATGTGGAGGCCAAAGATCATTTCTTCTACATGACCAATCGTGTTTGCGATGAGCGATACCTTGTGGATACGTTGGTTGCTAATGAAGCTTTGTTCATTCAGAAGGTAAGATCACCTTTTTAAAAGACAAAGTCGGGAAAGGAGTAGCATACATTTTTACGACCATTTTTATACCGACTTAAGTAATCTTCTTAGGCGCTCTTATATTCTCTAATAAATACTCATGTTGTTTGTTTTTTCATTCATTCATTCATTTATTTATTGCTAGTACTGTGTACATTGTGCAGATGAAAATGCATACATTTTGAAAACAACAGTATACCCGTAACAGGCATGCAATAACAACAAAATTATTATAATACATAAACTAATCTTAATAAACTTAATTATACATTTCTCTTATTAAAATATTCTTCCAGACCGTAAAATGAGTATTTTTTCAACCATTCTTTTAGCTTAAATTTAAATGTAGGCAAACATAAGGCTTTAATTTCCACAGGGAGGTGGTTAAATATTTTTATACCAGAACTATAAGCACTTTTATAGTACAATGCATTGTTTATTCTAGGTACACATATATTGTATTTATATTTATTCCGTTGGGTTCTCAGATTTTCAGTTGTATTTTCAAAGTACTGACCATTTTGCTTAACAAACGTTGCGATTTCCAATATATATATACAAGTTAAGGTAAGGTAACCATTTTCCTTAAAAATATTTCTGACAGTTTCATATGAGTACATATTATAAATTATACGCAAACATTTCTTTTGAAGAATGAAAGTTGACTGAACATTTACAGAGTTTCCCCAGAATATGATACCATATGTCAGCAATGGATAGATATGACCAAAATATGCAGCCCTAGCCACCTCTACAGAAGTTGTTTCGATTAGGATAGAAAGAGCATAGCAATAGCTAGATATTTTGTTATTTATTTTTAAGATATGTGACTTCCAATTTAGGTGGGCATCTACAGCGTTTTTACAGCGTTACATGTTGAGTGCGATAGGTTATTATGTTTTGGTATTCCTAGTTTTACTTTAATATAATTAACACAAGTTATCTTGCTATATACTTACTTCCTTATTCAAAATTACAAAATACATCAAGTCATTACAAAATGTAAAAATATTTTAGTATTACTAAATGGTTCCACTGATTAGTCACAGTCCATTTGAATGGGTCATTACCAAATAAACGACGAATTCTTAGATAAAAGTATTGTCTGGGCCATGGATTTACTGTTTAAAGCATTCTTCCGCAAACGGTTTAGGAGTTTGCGATTGCGCTTGTAATGAAGATTAACGTGGATTATTTTTGTATGCATACAATATGTACGTGTATTGTTCACATATTTACTATATTTACTATATTCTTACTTACTTTGTTAAATTATAATCTTGTTCCGGCTCTGAGCGACCGAATTAAAAATACAAAAATCTGGAGTCACATAGAGCTATATGACGTGTGGCATATCATTCCGCAAAGAAAATGGCGATGGATAAGTCGCATAAACCGCAGAACCGGTGATCAATGGAGCAGAAGAATGCTAGAGTAAAGACCGAGAATTGTACCCGAAGCGTCGCCGTCAGCCGCCAAAAGGCTAGATGAATGGACGATTTAGTCAAAGTAATCAGAATTTTTTTTATAATACTAAGTGATGGGACGAACAAGTCGTGAACCTCTGTTCATAGTAATTGCAGTGCCACCCAGAGCTTTACATCGCGAAGTGCCTGTAATTTCACCAGCACTCTTACCTTTCAAAACCAGAACACAGTAATGCTCACATACTGTTAGGCGCCAGAAATAGGTAAGGTGACAGTACTTCTCTGGACGAACGAATTTAAGAAATCCTTGATGCAAATAACCCAAGATCGGAAAGAATGGCGTGCAAATGAGAAGGCCTAGACTGTCGCCTTTAGTTGAAACGGTGCATGTATAAAAAAAATATCTGTACTGCCGTGATGAGTAAAAAAGGCCGATTTGTCAGTTTTTATTTTTTCCTATGTGGATAAGGTATGAAGTTACCGCAAGAGAGAAGAAAATTGTTTTTTATTTAATTTCTTTAAACATTATTTTCTCGCTTTTGGTTTTTGTCACAAGCGCCCTTTCAAGTAACGACGGCAGTATACTCTGCAGTGAATGATAAAAAGCTGGAGAAGAAAAAAGATCTTTTTCTATTTCTATAAGGATATTTATAGCTTTACATAAAAGTACTACAGCAATATAGTACATCAATTGGTAGCTAACAACAACTACAAAATCTCAATCTCATATGACCCCACAAGCAGAGACTGACTAAAAAAAAGTTGAAGAAGAAAAGGATCTTTCTCTTTATAAGGATTTTTATAGCTCTACATAAAATTACTTCTGCGATATGGTATATCAATTGGTAGCTAACAACTTACAAAATCTCAAACTCGTATCATCACACCACTTGGCCAGGGCGTGGCTTTATTACGAAAAAAGGCTAGGCGTGTTGTAAAGGCCACTAATAAAGGTATCAAAATTAACACTCAACATTGTCAATTTGAATGGACCATTAACGTAACCAAACACTTCAGTGTTTGTTAACTAAAACGTTTGGGCTAATTAACTCGTTTAGGTTGGCACACTCGAAAAATTAGTCAAACCAACAATATTAGTAAATTGGTAAAATTCAGAACACTGCTTATTTTGTAATATTGTATATTATTTAGGCTTATAAAATTCGAGGTCTAATACGAGCATATTTCGTTGTTTTTTACGAAGCGACGTTTCATATCATTTTGTAAACAAAGCAATCGAATGTATTCACTAAATACAAATAATTGTTATGTTTCTTTTAATATTCACTAAAGATTAGATGAAAACTTTCTGTCTCTACTTAATCAATTTCAAAAACTTGCACAATAAAGAACTTAAGTAAACAGCGGTTACAAACACAAAAAGGAAACTTTTATAAAATAATTACATATTATCGTGTCATTTGTAAAATTAAATTTCGTCTGCTATCAATTTTCACTATGTTTTCCTTTACTATAATGTGTTGTTGAACGAAGAAGTTTTACTATCAATGGTTCTTTGTTGATAAATCTAAAAAACACGACGTGTAGGCTGTATTACTTATGTGTACAGGCCGGCATTATTTTTTATTTTTTTTATATTATTCAGAACAACAATAGATATAAATTACGATTTACTATGAATATTTTTTTAGGTAAAGCTAGTCAGCGCCAATTACAGTTGTCCACATTCTCATTTTGAAATATATAAATTATCGTAAAAGTTAACACACCAAAAAGTTAAAATAAACACAAAAGTATCTACAATAAGAAGCATAGCAAAAAAAGCGATATGAATTGTGTAACCCTGACGACCTACAAAAAACCGTGCATTAAAAAACAATTTTAATAATTAAATAAACACGAAACAAGAAAAATAAACCAATTCTATAAATGGTACTCCGCACTGTATTTAAATTTCAGTTATTTTCAAATATTTTTAAATAGGACTATTTCCAATTTCCTTAGTAAAAGTGTGCTTATTTCCTACAAACTGTTAAAAACAAGTATGATTCGCGTAAGGACACTATTCATGTCATAATTTGTAGAATGAATAGGAACAGAAAATAGTGGTGTATGCCTGATCCTGCGCTTCGGCGTTGACAGTGATATTATCTTTGATAGCAATTCAGGGCAATCGAGCCGTCCTCGTAAGATGTCAAAAAGAAGACCCATGTCCATCACCATACGCCTTGTTTCCAAACTCAACAGTCCATAATGCCTGCAGTTTTCGACGTATGACCCAAACGATAACAATTTTTTTTGAACACACTCAATGCGTTTAATTAATTAAGATCTTATAACGTTTGCTGCCGTGTGGTGCCGGCCTAGAATAGCACCACCCCCTTCTTATCCTGTGGGTGTCGTAAAAGGCGACTAAGGAAAAAATTGTCAGAAGAAGACGGGCAGCAGCGTCTTCTCCCCATCTTGGCCAGAACTGCGATCGCCAACCCGCATGCCAAGCGTGGCGATTATGGCACAACCCCCCTATGTTACACACACCAAAGAATTGGCCCCTAGTCCCCGGCAGTCCTGCTCTTCCTAGTCACGGTAGCGGCTTTGGAAACAGGGCATGGGGTGCGAAGAATCCCCGGGGGAGACCCGGCTACCATCAACGACGACGACTGGACCTGGCAACCTACAACACGCGCACATTGAGGACCGACGCAAAGCTCACAGAATTGGAAGAAGCTATTAGTAAGTTACGCTGGGATATCATTGGGCTATCTGAAGTCCGAAGAGAGGGGGAGGACTCGATAATCCTTAAACTCGGCAACTTACTGTACTACCGGGAGGGCGACCAACAGTCCCTTGGCGGTGTCGGGTTTATTGTCCACAAGTCCCTTGTTAACAACGTGATTTCCATCGGAAGTGTGTCGACCAGGGTGGCATACCTGATACTCAGAATATCAAAACGATATTCGTTGAATGTCATTCAGGTTTATGCTCCGACCTCGACACACCCAGATGACGAAGTGGAGGCTATGTATGAGGAGATCTCAAAAGCCATGCATAGCTACAAAACCCACTACACGATTGTTATGGGGGACTTCAATGCAAAGTTGGGAAAGCGTTGCAGTGATGAACTGAGAGTGGGGCAATTTGGAGTTGGACAACGGAACGCCAGAGGCCGGATGTTGGTTGATTTCATGGAAAAGGAGAACCTCTATATGATGAACACCTTTTTCAGGAAATCTCCAACTCGTAAGTGGACCTGGATGAGTCCGGACGGCAAAATAAAAAATGAGATTGACTTTATCATGTCGACGAAAAAGCATATATTCAATGATGTCTCTGTGATCAACACCGTTAAAACAGGAAGTGATCACCGGTTGGTACGAGGCACATTGAATATCAATATCCGGCTGGAAAGAACTCGACTGATAGAGTCTACGCTCCGACCAATACCTGCACAACTCCAAAACCCCGAGAGCTTTCAGCTCGAACTTCAAAACCGCTTCGAAGCCCTCGAAAACTGCATAGATGTGGACGATCTAAACAACATGGTGGTGGACACTGTCCGTACGGTTGGGTCCAAGTTTTTCAAAACCCACCGTA